TACACAAATGCAACAAGCTAAAAATAACGTATTAATACCTACGTATTAACAATGAGACATATTAGGTTAAGGACCAACGTAATAGCACTGCTTATATGTTGCCATGTAACGTAATTGCGATTTGCAAAATAGTTTCCTCAGAACGTATTTCGTGTGATACAGGGTTATGTCTTGAGTCCTCGGTCACTCAATCGATCAGTATAATAAGTAAATAAAACACGGAAGGGCATTTGACATGTTGTCTTTTTTATGAATGTTTTTGAGTTAGTTTATAATTTGCAACATAATTGCGCAAGGCGTAATAGGCGTTCCCTCTCGGGAGCAAGAGTGTTGTGTTTGTGCATGTGCATTTTTTTTAAAAAATGGAGTGGACGGGTCTTCTCTAAAATTCGGAAAGATCCTCCGCTATACCTTTAAGGGATAAAATGATTGACTACAGGGGGACTTTAAGTTATTCAGTGATTAAAGGATGTAGAATCACTAACATTAACACCAGCAGAAAAACATAATTTTCCCATGGAGGATAATAGGAATAAAATGCTCATAAAAATTACAGGTAATGATAATTGGGTGGGTGGTCCTAAAAATAGGCTCATATGAAATCAATCATTCGTTTAAACGTGAGCTGTCTCAATGCTGTCTTATTTAACTAAATTGATTTTTAACCTACAAACCAAATGTAAAGCTAATATCAGTGATTAAAAGGCTTTCAGAGTTAGAAGTGCTGTGGTTTGTGGCTAGTTTTGCAACAATGCAACATAGATTGTTTCTGTTGTAGCAGATCTTGAAGAAAATAGTGTCATGAGTGGAGGCGGGGCTCATTTGCATATTCATAGTAAGGGTGTCGAGTTACATTCAAGATATTTTAAGGCATGAAGGCATTTGATCAAATATGAGATTTAATTGATAAAATGATTGACTACAGGGGGACTTATAGTTATTCAGTGATTAAAGGATGTAGAATCACTAACATTAACACCAGCAGAAAGGATAATGGGAATAAAATGCTGATTAAAATTACGGGTAATGATAATTGGGTGGGTGGTCCTAAAAATAGGCTTCATTTTCTTGATCTAAAACATGATTTATTTTGGCTTTAGGGTGAAATGTGTCCTAGAAACGTTTTAGCGAGATAATGATCTCTCTTTACCTGCACTATCACCAGATCTACAGTATAATGTTCATCAACTAACAAACTAACATGATGTGAAGGGAAAACTACGGAAGCCCTGAACCGCAACCTAAAAAAAAAAAAAAAGTCAGTAAAAAAAAAAAAAAATCTGTAAAAAAAAAAAATCTGTAAAAAAAAAAAAAATCTAGCATTTCGAGATTAAAGTCGAAATGTTTCGAGATTAAAGTCGAAATGTTTCGAGATTAAAGTCGAAATGTTTCGAGATTAAAGTCGAAACATTGTGCATTCATAACAGTGCGCGTCCACTGGCTCAGAGCGCGCGCGTGTGTGTGTGAAGTCGAACTGCCATGGATAAACACAAAATAGCTTTTTACTTTTATCTGAATTACTTATCTTACTTTATCGTTATAAAATATAATGCGCCGGAATAGACTTTAGCCTATAGGAAAACCAACACGGAAAACACTTTTCAGACTGGATGGAGAAATCCAGCTTTATGAATGAATGAATGAATGAATATGGCATTTATATAGCGCTTTCATATATGCCTACACTCAAAGTGCTTTACAATCATATCAGAGAATCTCTCCTCAACCATAAGTGGTTATTAAATCTTAGGAAATACAGGATCCGGCCAAATGATTGGATACAGAATGATCCACTTAAAATGTATCCAGAGCGTATTTACGTTGAAGAGGGAGACCGAACAGTACTGTTGTGTTCTCGACCCAGATAGTGTTGACTAGACGAGCACGAAAACACCTCAGAAACACTGCCACTAGCACGTGTGACGTGTGTAGAATTTTGTTGAAAGCCCAGATAAAAGTAAAAAGCTACTATTTTGGGTTTATCCATGGCAGTTCGACTTCACACGCGCGCGCTCTGAGCCAGTGGACGCGCACTGTTATGAATGCACAATGTTTCGACTTTAATCTCGAAACATTTCGACTTTAATCTCGAAACATTCCGACTTTAATCTCGAAATGCTAGATTTTTTTTTTTTTTTTTTACAGATTTTTTTTTTTTTTTACAGATTTTTTTTTTTTTTTTTTAGGTTGCGGTTCAGGGCTTCCGTAGAAAACGACACAAAGAGAGAGAAGATTTGAAACCCATTCATAATTAATCATAATTCGTTTAAACGTAAGCTGTCTCAATGCTGTCTTATTTACCTAAATTGATTTTCAACTTTACAAATATCAGTGATTAAAGAGTTAAAAGTGCTGTGGTTTGGTTGAGCTGTGTGTTACGGCTCACTCTTCTGCTTTCTCTCCCATGGGTCAGTAATAAATGATTTTTTTTTTTTTTTGTGGACAGGGGTTTGAGAGCAAGATAATAATGGGCTTGAGAAATGGTTTTGACATAATGATTGTTAATTGCAGTCATTATTGTAGTGCCACTCACATGTCAGTCGAACTCGGCTCTGAAAAGACACTTTGTGAAGAGTCTTTGTTTCCCTGCTCCAGTTTAGTTGTTTATTCAGGCCAATATGCATTTGAAGAAGCATTTCTGTTCTTTTCTTCCAGCTTTTTAATACTGACATTTACTGAAGGGGAAGAACAGACATCAGTACATGGAGACATGAAGTATATTTATAGTGACACAGTAAAACATTCAAGCTTCATACATACAAAATTTGAGGATTTTAGATTTTAGTCATTCAATTTCTGCGTTTTAAATGGTTTTTATCTTGCAATCTGTGGAAAATTCAACTTAAATTGTTGGTTGCACCCATGGCCAACCCGGTCTCATCCCAAGACGTCATATAACTGACGTTTTGGGACGTCTTTTGACCATACGTCAATATTCGCCTTTTTAGGGCCCCCTTAAACGTCGGTAGATGAGGTTATGGGATCCTAACTCTACCCCATACCTAAACCTAACCCTAAACCTAACCCGTCACCTAACTGACGTTAAAGGTAAAGCGTCAGTTGTATGACGGCCCGGGATCGCCATCTACCGACGTTTAAGGGGGCCCTAAAAAGGCGGATATTGACGTATGGTCAAAATACGCCCCAAGACGTCAGTTATATGACTTTTTGGGATGAGATTGTGTTACCATGGCTTTGATTTATAATAACTGTAGGGTCCAAATTATGTTGTAAAATCAAAAAAAAAAAAGTTCATTTGCCTTGCAGTACACTCTCAGAAAAAAGGTACAAAAGCTGTCATTGGGGCTGTACCTTTTCAAACGGTAAACTTTTGTCCATTTCAGGTGCTAATATGTACATTTCAGGTGCTAATAAGTACATTTTAGCTGTTTATATATACATTTTAAGTGTTAATATGTCCATTTCATGAGGTAATATGTCCATTTTAGGTGCTAATATGTACATTTTAGGTGATAATATGTACATTTTAGTTACTAATATGTCCATTTCATGAGGTAATATGTCCATTTTAGGTGCTAATATGTACATTTTAGGTGGTAATATGTACATTTTAGTTACTAATATGTCCATTTCATGAGGTAATATGTCCATTTTAGGTACTAATATGTACATTTTAGGTGTTAATATGTACATTTCAGGTGCTAATAAGTACATTTTAGCTGTTTATATATACATTTTAAGTGTTAATATGTCCATTTCATGAGGTAATATGTCCATTTTAGGTGCTAATATGTACATTTTAGGTGCTAATATGTACATTTTAGGTACTAATATGTACATTTTAGGTGTTAATATGTACATTGTAGGTGGTAATATGTACATTTTAGGTACTAATATGTACATTTTAGGTGCTAATACATTTTTAGGTGCTAATATGTACATTTTAGGTGCTAATATATACATTTTACTGTAGGTATATGTCCATTTCATGAGCTAATATGTCCATTTCATGAGCTAATATGTCCATTTTAAGTGGTAATACGTACATTTTAGGTGCTAATATAATTCAACTTAAAAGGTGAAACTAATATATTATATAGACTCATCACATGCAAAGTGAGATATTTCAAGCCTTTATACAGTATGTTATAATTTTGATAATTATGGCTTAAAACCTTTTCACAATAAGTTGTAAGCCATAATCATCAAAATTATAGCAAATAAATGCTTGAAATATCTCACTTTGCATGTAATGAGTCTATTAGTTTCACATTTTAAGTTGAATTACTGAAATTTTGCTCGATATGCACATTTTTCCAGTTTCACCTGTGTGTACCGCTGATTTCACTTCTGCAATAATCTGCATGTGTCGTCTTTAAAAAGAGACCAACCTTCGGTCTGAATTACATCAACCTGTAGTTCACAGTCTCTCTCTCTCTCGAAAACTCAATATTACACCCACGAGCTGTAAATGTGTCCAGGTTACAGCGGTTTGTGTTTCTATTGAATCATATATTTGTTCAGGCATTATAAATGGAGGTGCGCGTGAATAGTTATTTCCGTCTGCACAGCTGAATGTGTGTGTCGTTGGGTTCAGGCACACACGACCGTCCAGGACCCCGACACACTGCTGTCATTTCCAATCGCTCTTGGCTCCCGTCACTCGACTCGGCTTGAAAAAACATAAAACAAAGAATTAAAAGCGCCTTGCAGGGAAACTCTGTCGCTGATAAATTTCCATTCAGACCTTCTCCATTCTGTGTGTGTGTGTGTGTGTGTCTCCATCTGTGCTGTTTCCTTCTCCACAGATGATAATTATCCTTTAATGTTTGCCCTTCACAGACTCATCTCCCCTGAACCCTAAATAAAGCACTGAATCCATAAATACACTCACACACACACACACACTGAAAGCGTTGGTCGGCTTGACATCACACACTCGTGGGGTCATGCTTTCAAACTCCTTCATCTTCCAGTACCGAACGAGAGTGCAAAAGGACATGAAATGTCTGAGTTGATGTTGTTTTTCATTCTTTCAGCTCTTTTGCTGCTTTACGACGTGACAAATAAAGCTTCGTTTGACAACATACAGGTAAGACTCATGTGACTCATTTGACGTTGTACTGTACTTTTAAAGTGTCTTTGTAATTACAAGTCTTCTTTTGATTGACTCAAGACTAGTGCATGCCACTTTTCATTCATCTTAACCCTTGTGCTGCATTCGATTTTTAACACCGTTGAGTGCATTAAGGACCAAAAATGGCCACATATTAAACATTGCCTAAAATATTATATATTATTATTATTTTCCACTTTTACCAAGTTAAATCTTTTAACCAGCATCAGTCCTCATCATAACTGCCAAAAATGTATTTAATGTCAGGATTTTAACCCTTTAATTACCAGTTTTGTTTGCGAAACCATCGATTTGTATAAGAGGAAAAAACACAAAACTTCAATTATTTTCAATAAACTAAATGCAAAGAGAAAACTTTAGATTTGGATTATCACAGTCCCACTTTGCAAAAAATCCCACTTAGCGCGTTAGAGACCAAAAATGGCCACCTATTAAACATTGCCTATTGCCTAAAATAAGGTGCATTTCCCACCCATAGGGAATAAATATGTAGTGACGTCATCTGGTGGAATACACTATATAATGCAAATATAATGCTTTTGCTTCAAAATGAAAGGATGTTTGTGCAAAAATCATGTTTCATGTATTACTGATTTAAACAACGTTTTAATGGGTTTCAATGGGCCATTTTTGGTCTTTATGGTGCTGAGTGTTACTATTTGATCTACACAGTGTGTGTTATACATATTTTGCAAAATGGGATCACATTTTTTACATGTATCCAAAAAGTCACAATTTTGCCAAATTTCATACCATTTGCATTAAAACAGCCAAAATGGTCAAAGAAATTAAACTGCAAAAGACCAAAAATGTCCCTAATGCAGCATAAGGGTTAAAGAGCAGTTTCCCTGTTGTTTCGCACTTTAACTAGAATTCCGAAACCGTTGTTGTTAGCGACACCGGTGGCTGTAAAGTGAACTGCAGCAGAACGTAACGTACAAGAGACTGAACGCGATTCAGTCTCACGGAAAAGTTATGTTTTGTTCTTTGCTTAGAAGTAAACACACATTGGAAATGTATATGTAAATATGCTTTGCGCACTTTCCTAGTGGCGAGAGAACAGCAGTTCAGAAAGCATCTGATAATAGCGATGTGGAAATGTTTTTAATTATAACGTATATTTTTGATTATCACTATATATATCTGACTCTGCGAGACTATAGTTTTTATCAATGGCGCATCATTGAATGACACATTAACATTACAGGCTCGTTCTGCTTCATTCTGAACATCGTAAGCATTTATTTCATGTGTCATTGTGGTTGACCTCGCTGAATCATTACAGATTAGCATTGTTTCTGTCACGGTTACTGTAAAACAGCAAACATTTTTATTTATTATTCATATTCTAATTTAATTTATTGATTTAATGTAAAAATTTGACCCCATACAAAATGATGCATACATTTATTTAGTTAAAAAAAGATTTATATAGGTAAAAAATGCCCATAAAAGGCAAAAATCTATTTTAAACAAACAAAAAAAACACATTAAAATAATAAACAAAATATTGTCTAATTATCATTAGCGATAAAAATACTTTTTTGTCAATATCGCACAGCCCTACACACACACTGCCAATAATAAGTGATTAATACATGAAAATACTTACATATGACCCCTGTAACATTGACTAACATTGAACAAGAAAAGGGTATTTTCTTCATTAAATATCCTGACTTATATCATAATTAAATATGTCAGATGTTTAAGTGTAATTTAATATGACATAAAATACGAAATAAAACCGGTTGTAAATGTTGTTTATTGTTAAAGTCTAGTACATTGTATTTGTATAGCACTTTTCACAATTCATGTTAATAATGTTAATGTTTATAAAATCTCAATAAGTCATATCAGATTACAGCATAGTATGGTTTATGTTTTGTGATGATATAAACAAACAAGCAGATGAGATTTGCTATAGCTTTACATGAGTGTACTGCATATATACATATTTATATTTAGAGCTGGGCAATACTATTACTGTAGATTTTGCGTCAATATTAACAATCAAACAGTTGAGATTTTGCTTTATACACTGTAAAAAAATATGTTCATGATTTGTAATCACAACATATTTTATTTTTTCAAATCAACTGAAATAATTAATGTGGCTCGGATAACATAATATTTTAAGTTTCTGATGATTAAATCAATCTCCTTCATTATATTAACTCAATTTTTCCATTTCAATGAACTTAAAATTTTAAGGCAACCATGTTACTTTTTTTTAGGTTAAACCAACTTTTTTTTACAGTGATATCACTGTGTGTATGCGATAAAGTTTGATATACTTATGTATGCAACTTTATGGAAATCTATTTTCTTTCTATGCTCAAAAATGCATGTTATTGATCTTACAGTGAATGATTCATCCATGCATATCTGGAATAATTCACTTAAACCCTGTCAGATATGAAAGAAAGCATCGGGCATTATTAACCACACTTCAAAGTCTCCTTATATGCTGTGCATCTAAACACATGGACTGCAGTGATTATAAGAGAAGGAGAATAAGGGGGACAGAAAGTTTTGGTCGAATGATTTGTAAATGAGATGTGAGTTTAATGAGTCGAGCATCAAAGGTATTATTGAGGCCATCTGTCCTACAGGTTTGCAGCTGCAGGCCCAGTTATTAATAAATCCTGAAATATTGCACCATTTATAACCATTAGTCGAGGCGCAGGGGGACAGATATCACCCCAGGCTTTTAAAGATCCTTATTAATATGTGAACGTGTAAACACACAACCCCCTCACACTCCCACACACGTTTATTTCTCATTTCTGTCTTCTCTTTTACATGCACATGCAGAAACACCATCAACTTCAGTCACGCGTTCACATGTGCAGTTCCTCAGACCATAGTGTGTGTGTGTGTGTGTGTGTGTGTGTGTGTGCACCTGTTCATTTGCACAGAAGCACTCAAGCCTCAACTCTGCTGCTCAGGTTAATTGGTGTAAATTGATGCTAATCACCGTGACAAACCAGGAACAAAAGCTTGAGATGCAGAAAGCCAAAGCCTTCATGTCACACTGCAAAAAAATAAATAAATAAATGTTCATATATATATATATATACAGGCGAAACTGGAAAAATTTGAATATCATGCAAAAGTTCAGTAATTCAACTTAAAAGGTGAAACTAATATATTATATAGACTCATTACATGCAAAGTGAGATATTTCAAGCCTTTAAATAAAGGCTTGAAATATCTCACTTTGCATGTAATGAGTCTATATAATATATTAGTTTCACCTTTTAAGTTGAATTATTGAAATAAATGAACTTTTGCACCATATTCTCATTTTTCCAGTTTCACCTGTATTAAAGGAGTAGTTCACTTTTAAAAAAACTTTCGCTGATATCTTACTCACCCCCATATCATCCAAGATGTCCATGTTTTTCTTTCTTTTTCCGAGTCAATTCGTTCGTTTCGTTCGTTGAATCAACCAAATGACTCGAAAAAAGATTTGTTCATTTTGATAAATGAGTTCGAACAGGAGCATCACAGAACAGAGTAAGGCGAGCATTTGTGCTTATAAAACTTAAACTTTTTATGTATTTATTAAATGAGCGATCGTTTCGCTTGATAAGACCCTTACTCATCGTCTGGAATCGTTTAAAGCCCTTTGAACAGTTTGTAGTTTGCACTGAAACTGTCTTTTGGACCTTGAACCGTTTGGACCCCATTGAAGTCCATTATATAGAGAAAATCCTGGAATGTTTTCATCAAAAACCTTAATTTCTTTTCGACTGAAGAAAGAAAGACATGGGTGACATGGGGGTGAGTAAATTATCAGCTAAAGTTTTTTTAAAGCTAAACTACTCCTTTAAGTGTTTGTTATACATGATTTATCTGTACACATCATTATTTTGCCTATAATCATATAACAAAATATTTTGGGGGCCATGCAGCTTTTGAGAAAATTATAAAAAAAATAAAAAAATAGTGTCTTTGGCTGGAAACGTATAATTTAAAAATAAATAAAGCAATGAAAGATTTATTATAAGCATAAACCTGACTCTTGTACACTAAAAGTTGAGTCGGTAAAAATTTGCTCAAGAAGGCTGCATTAAATACTGCAATATTGTGAAATATTATTATAATGTCTGTTTTTCTATGTGAATATACAGTAAAGTGTAATTTATTCCTGTGATCAAAGCATCATTACTCCAGTCTTCAGTGTCACATGACCCTTCACAAATCACTCTAATATGAGGATCTGATGATCAACAAACATTTATTAACAGTTATTTTTGTGGAAACCAATATTTTATGTTTCAGGATTAGTATGTGAAATATTTATTTAATTATTACCGTCACGTTTGATCAATTTAATGCGTCCTTGTTGAATAAAGTATTAATTTATTTTTTTAAAAACTAACTTTTTAACAGTAGCATAGCCGGTACAATACGCTTTATAATCCCCCTGATATTAAACATCAAGCGGCCATGTTTCAAGCATTAAGTTTTCTCATGTGTCTCTCTGAATAAGGTTCGGTTTCCTCGCGCTGTCTGTAATGCAGAGTTGCTGTGTTCATTACTCGCTCAGATAATTGACACATTCAGGGCTAAATAGGATTACATTGGATTAGGGCAGGAGAAATGAATTTCTCATGGTTGCATCAGCATCTTAAGTGGGTCTTTAATGAATCAAACACATGGTCAATCATGAGCCGGGCTAAATCTCACCGGAGCCTCATTAAAGTTTTTTATCCACTTTCACTAATTTACAGATAATTGTTTGGTGAGATGGTGAACATTGTTGTGGCATAGGTCAAACAAGAGAGGGCATTAGTTTAGATCAGGCTAAAATTGATGAAAAGTGGTGATTTGCATGCACAAATAAGAGAGTTGTTGGCAATATTGTGAGGATTTTTGGCAATACTAATTTTATCCAACTTATCTTTGTTCTCCAAAATGACATATTTTAATGTTTTTTCCTGGAA